GTGTGTGTGTGTGTGTGTGTGTGTGTGTGTGTGTGTGTGTGTGTGTGGGGGGGTGTGTGGGGGTGTGTGTGTGGGGGTGTGTGGATCAGGTGTTTCTTTATCAGCATCTCTGTGAGTTTTTCCACCTCGACACACACGGTCAGATTGAAACCACTCCGGGGGAATCGTCTCATTTCACACTGAAACATTGAAGTTAAGATAAGCCATTCGCTCTGTGCTTTTAGATGTCATTTGAATTTCTCTAAAGTTGAGTCATTAACCTCAGTCGGAAGTTATCCTTCCATTTTAATCCAACCACCTGTCCAGAGAAAGAGAGAACAGACTTTATAATTGAGTTTTAGTGTTGTCTTTAGGGTGTGACGTCCTTTCTATTCATCAGCTGCTTTGTGTCACTTCTCCAACTAAATCCTCTCCAAAAACCACAGATTTTTAGTTTTCAGTCGACGCTCCAGGATCAGAGTACATGTTGAGACCAAACACACTGCTGCATTTTTTTGTTCATTGGAGGGTGAAGACAGGCAGGAAGAGAAAGACGGCCTGTGTAGAGCGGACGGGTTCGACGTCACTGTTCTTGTGAGTAACTGGGCGGGTCTGTGTGTCCCGGCCAGCCAATCGGACGCTGAGGTTTCCTGTTTCACTTCTTGGTGTGTGTCCTCAGAGTACACACACACACACACACACACACACACACACACACACAGACAGCCTACAGTACGTGTGAGACGTGTCCCGCACACTAACGGATGTGTTGTTATTGTGCTGTACATCTCACACACTTTCACCACAGTACCACACTGAGTACATTTACTGTAGTACTACTGCTGCTGTGTCTGACAGCTGAAGTTACTGCTGACTCTGTGATAAGCTGTTGCATGCAAAACGTGTGTTGAGCCCGTGAGATATCATGCAAATGTTTAAACCTTATTTTATCATTGATTGCATCCTTCACTACTGACAGCACCGCTGTCTTTTGTTTTCATGCTAGAAGTGTAATAAATTCATTTTCATGCTGCTAACTCTGCTAGAAGCTTTTTAATCCCTCAAGAGACACATTTTACCAAATTTGTGATTTATGGTGTTTCGGTACTTTCAAAGTATGTATGGTGTTTTTTTGCATTTAGTACCTTTTATTTATTTAGTTCTTATTCCTATGGTACTATAATATAATACAAAGTACATGACTTAAAGTCGAGCAGTGGTGGAAGAAGTACTCAGATCTTAAAGTACAAGTATCAATACCACAGTGTAGAAATACTCTGTTACAAGTAAAAGTCCTGCATTCTATATCTCAAGTAAAAATACAAAAGTATGAGCATCAAAATGTACTTATAAGTACTCATTATGCAGAATGGCCTATTTCAGAATAATGATATTACAGGCTAATTTCAACTAATTTATACACTACTTTGTTGCTTATTCTATAATGATATATATATTGATTTATTAGTTTATTTCATATTTAGTTTTAATAATTGCAATCTATAAAGTAATTAAAGCTTTAAAATACATGTAGTGGAGTAAAAAGTACTGTATTTTTGCCCTAAAAGTTGTGGAGTATAAAGTAGCATACTCAAGTGAAGTACAAGTACCTCAAAATGAAGTACTTAAGTACAGCACTTAAGTAAATGTGCTTAGTTACATTCCACTACTGCTGCAGACATGAGACGTTTTACCAGAATCCCTCAAATGTCTTAAATTGTATTTTGTCATTATTTATTGAATTTGTGATTATTGGTGTTTCAGCACTTTGTAGTAACTATTTATGTTTGGTGTTTTTGTACTTATATATAGTTCTATATAGATCTATCTCTTTATCTTTATATCTATATTTCTATATTAATGAATAAAGACAAACACAAAGGATCTTTACCTAATCATATTTTAATCATAGACGATGTTTACATACACTCGACATGCTGACTCTACTATTGATCACCTCACCTTTACCTTGTAACTCTGTTTTTAATTGCTCTTGTATAGTCTCCATATTTACTTCTATTCTTATTGTACTTGTACACAGATCTTAACCACCATATGTACTGCATCCTCTGGGGATCAATAACGTCTTATTGTGATGCCAGAGCTGTGGACTAAAGTCACATGACCTGGACACAGAAATTACATGTTTGTAGAAGCAAAAAGTACCTGCAACTTTAAAACCAACGAGTCATGATTTCTTTTGACACAGTAGAACTCTGTTCATATCAATCCAACAACAGTCTTCTACTGAGTCTGTCACCCCGCTGCTCTGTCAGTCCAAGCTGATCACACACACACACACACAGTGTGTGTGTGTGTGTGTGTGCACACTTTGAGAGGATTATCAGTCCAGTGAAACATTCACCACGCTGCTGAAAGAATATCCACTCCCCCTCTCTCTAGTGTGTGTGTGTGTGTGTGTGTGTGTGTGTGTGTGTGTGTGTGTGTGTGTGTGTGTGTGTGTGTGTGTGTGTGTGTGTGTGTGTGTGTGAGAGAAAAGCTGCCAGGTCAGTGGAGCAGCAGCAAACAGATTACACTCAGTTGTCTGCAGCAAAGACTGTACATGTAGAAATGTCTGATTATATGAAGACTAGTTGCTGGTTTATTAAAATGTGTGTGTTGTCCTTCTCTAAGGAGATCGATACCAAATTAGTTAATTTTTTTTTTTCGAGGTGCCTAGCCCACGTGGGCTTATGAGTCACTACTTCCATAACTTCACAGGCCAGAAAAAACAAAAGCAAACAAATACACGATACATCAAGCACATCGCATCACATATAACCGTAACCAGTGGTGAAGTATTCAAACCTTTCACTTCTATAAAAGTACTCGTACCACAGTGTCAAAATATTCTGTTACAAGTGAAAGTCCTGTATTTAAAATGTTAGTATATTAAAAGTACAATGGTATGAAAATATTATTAAAGTAAAAGAACGCATTATGGTATATTATATTACTGGATTATAATAAGTGATGAGTCAGCATTACTAATGTTGCAGCTGGTCAAAGTGATTTCAGTTACTGCTGGTTAGTGTAACCTATAATAATATTGTACATTATTATATTATTATAATTATATTTTGTATTGGTCTGAATCTTGTCAAATAAATGTCGTGTAGTCAACGTAGGCCTAATATTGTCTTCCAAAATATAGTGGAGTAGAAGTACAA